TCAATCTTATGGAAAATGAAATTAGTGTTTTTTGTTGGCTTTTTAATTTTCTTGTTTGACATGTTTTTTCCCCCAGAATATTATGATCTTGCTCCCCCACTTTCCCCCTTTCCCTCCACGCTTGTAGCTTTTATTTCTCTTTGACAGACTACTAGCTGGGTATCAAACAATCAGTGTTGATTAAGTTTATAAAAATGGAGTTCCTCATCTTCTAATCAATATTTTTGTTGAATTGCAATACTATAAATTTTCCCAGCCATTTACTTTATTCCCCTTCCCATCTGAACTAACCCCTCTCCAACTAGTAGTTAGAAATGTAACCTATTCATACATTAAAATGATCTATTACCCAAATCCCCTGTGTGCTGTTTTCTGTAATAGATGTTTAAGTACCATGCTTTATATGCACGCACAAATGCACATGGATAGATAAATCACTGAAATCTTTTTGAGGTTCATCCCATTGAAACTACACATATTTTGTAATCCCACCCAGAATAATTTAATTAACCTGAGACACAAATGAGCATGTAAATCTTTAACTTGCTTTCTTGCAAAATAAAAATGCTTTTAAAATCACCTTAACATCCCAAAACCTGGAAGAAGAAAAAAATGCAGAAGCAAAGGAATGAGCAAACATTCATGTATTGTAATAATTTTTCTTCAGATCAATATGCATTACATTTTTCTCTCTATGCTGTTTCCAGTATTTTTCTCCTTTATAAAACTTCACCCACCTTGCCATTGTTAGATTCAGCTTGTGACATGAATGGGAATGCTAGACAAGTGACTGTGTTGCTACTTCCTTAGAAGCACGCAACATATGAGGTACTAAAATATTAACTGCTCTCCCTACTTCCCTCTTACCATGCAAACAGGCTCCAGTCCACATTATGTGTCAACAAGCTCTCACACAAACTCTGGATCTCAAACCAGTTGTGCATGCATCTGGGGTCACTATCATGCTTATGTACTATGAAGTATATGACAGCAAATGACATACCTAGTCATAAATACTGTGACAAGTACATCAACAAGCTAGCCCCTAACATTAAAAAGAAAAAAAAAGCTGCCTTTTATGATGACTCTATTTGATTAAGTCACCTATGCTATATGTGCTGAAGGAAAACCATAACAGCAGCTCGAGTTGAGGGGAATAAGCTGTTAGAAAAACCACTGCCAGCAGTAAAACAGATTTTTGACCTACAAGTGGTATGTTAATCTACTGGGATATCACTACAGAGAAGAATGCTTGTTACACACATCAGAAACCTTATAGCTCTCTTCTGTCACAAAATTCATCTAGCATCCCATTAGAAGAGTGAAAGAAGAGAGGGATGAACAAGAAGGAATGCAAGTTCCAAGTTCCTTGGATTTTGTGGAATACATTCAATCACAGAGCCTCACAGAGCTTCATCCTTCCCCTGCCTGCTCCCCCGCCCCAGTGTTGGGGGGATTTTGATCAGTTTGGTGTGTATACAATAAATCAACAACTGCTCAGTTAAACTACTCAAAACAGCATAAGGAATATGTTGAAAATATGCAAAATAGTGCTTACATGATTTAGAGAAAGCCATGATCAACTTTTACATATCCTATGTTTAGCTTAACACTCTTGATTATTCAGGTTTTAGAGCAGTGAGTGTTAAGATTAATTCACACCACACTAAATATAATTTTCTAAATTACAAAGTACTGTCACATGATAAAGTGCAATATTTCATGTCTACAAATTAAGAAAACATTCTAAAGTACATGCAATGCTAAAATTCTCATCACTGGCCTCTATCCTGAAAGAACAACTGCAAAACTTATGATACCTGAGGAGATGTGGGCACCAGAGAGCATTGCTGCTGCAAGGAATGTTTTATACTACATACAGAAGTATTCTTATTTAAGAACTTGATAAAACCTTTGAAACATTAAAAAAATAAAAATAAAAAGGGGGGGAGGGGAGGGAAGTAGAGAAGGCAAAGAATCAGGTAAGTTCAAATATAATTCAAAAAGTATTTGCAGAGTTGACTATGCCTACTTTCAATGTGCCTGACTTAAAAGTTTGTGAAGCTTGTTATATCCTCAGATGAACTCATCAAACAATTGTGTCTCAGATTATGATATCTGGGTGCAAAGACTCCTGATTCTCCTTCCAGCTCTTCCATTAACTTCATTGTGATCATTGGCTGTTATTGAGATGGAATTTGTAACAGAGCCTAATGATATTCCACATGGAAATTCCACTGAAATTTTTCACAAAATAACATCTCAATTCTTTACACTTCAAAGGTCTCAGGCACAATATTCCACAGTATCAATTTCACCACTTGTGGAATAATTTAGTTCTTTGACTCACAAGACCCCTGTGACTGAATTAATAAACCAAAACTATTTCAACCTTTTACCTTAGGAATAGTATAGCATCTGGAAAAAAAATGTACATTTATTTGAATAGATACATCAATAAAATAATTCCTAACTCTAATATATCTGTTTCAGCATACAAAAGATTATCATCTCCCAAGTGTGTTTCACTGGTATCTAATGGAGTTCAACCTGTTAGGATGTGGGAAAAAAATAGAGGTGCGTACACCAAGTAAGGGACACCAGAGAGGTGAAGCAGGTCAGTTTGCTGAGCTGACGCAAGTAACAGTTGACTTCAGACTAAAAAGATATCTGCAAAATGTGCATTAGTAGTTGAGTATTCCATACCTATGCATGATTTAGGGATGAACAAGAGGCAAAACTTACACTGTTATGCCTCTATAAACACACACAATACATATATGTAATATAAATGGCAGCTAGTCACAAGTAGACATGCAAAAACACAGGAAAATACAAACATTTTGAATCGTGCTACAAAGTTAGGAAATACCAGACTTAATATGATTTTAACTCCAATTTGCTCCTGTGTACAAATGCATCATGATCCAGTATTTGATTACATGATTCTTGAATACCATTTCTTCCACAAGACCTAAGTTAGACTGCAGGTACGTTAGACTGCACAATATCCTGGGAAGAAAGGGAATGCAGAAACTTTGTGAATAAAGAGTTGAATCTGCCTTGAACTTGCACTCGGTTCCCATTAGGGTAATGGTCACTTTGGCTTTATGCTTTTAAACAGACTTACGCTAGAAGTATTACTGAAAACTGTAGCTGACTTCAGAATATACAATAGAGGAAGCACAGGAGTCAAAACAGACAAAGCAGCCTGTCAGAGTGAGAAACACAGAAACTGCATGTTTAAACAACAGTGCACACGTGTAGTTGACACCAGAGTCAAGGAAAGGCTGGTTGTTCTGGGTTGACACATCCACTGTTAAGAGAATAGTTTGGATGACTGGATGAGATACGTAAGTAGAAAGATTAAGGATTAGTATAATTTTTAAATAGAAAATGCAGGCCTAGAATCACATGAACGAAACTATGACAAAATTATTTGCAAAGATGCAGTACATATTGTGCCCTTGCTGACCTCACTGGGCAGAACAACTTCCATATATCAGCAACAGAACTGGACTTCTCTCAATAATATGCTCTTTCCATTGACCTCCAAAGAAAGGCTTCTGATGTGTACATACAGAAACACACACCAATTTATTTGTGTTTAGGAAAAGCAGCTTACATAAGCCTCCTCTTACTTTCATAAATTAGGACATACATTGAGATGCTAAATACTCCTGAGTTATGAACGCTTGAACTAGAACCATGTTGGCCACCTGGAAAGTATGCCTTATGGAAACTGTTACTGCATGAATAACTTGTGTCTAAATCCCTGAAAGAAAGCAGAACAATTGTTATTATCCATAGCAGTTGCTGTATTTGTGCTAAGGGGAAAGAAGAAGAGGACCATCTGTGTAGCCTTCTAATAGGCAGCCAAAATTAAATAATAATAATAATAATAATGTAAACAGGTGCTTTTTCGTTGTTCTCTTAAAAACATGAAATCCCTGCTTGGTCCAGTGCAAGACATGAGAGTGAGACAGAACCAGTATGGATTAATTCTGCTTTGCTTTTAGCACTGCATGTATAAAGTAGAAATACTAATTTAATAGGGGAAAATCAGAAAGAATATATAATACATATAAATTTAGGGAGCTATCAGACAAACCATGGAAGAGCCAAAATACTTCTGGGATGAAAAGGAATGGGAAAAGGGGGACTTGAAGCCATTTCCACGAACATTTATTTTACAAGTCAAAATTAGCCAGTAGAAACCATGGCACAGAGCACTGATCCTCAGTTTCTCTTTGCTGAGATGGAAACTTCAGTGATGATTATTTGAAGTTATTTAATGATGAGTAACTTATTACACGATGCACTATTTAAAGCATATAGTTCATACAAATAAAAGACAAACAGCATTTTAACACAGTAGGTAATCCATTATTGACTCTGATGCATAACTGTTACAAATATGTTTTTCACGTGGCTGCTTATTACTTATTTGTAAAGAATAATGGAATAATGGAAAGAAGAGACACAGAAACATATATATTTAGCCTACACTGAGCTGAGTTGCTACAGTTTAAAACTGTATTTGATGTAGACTAAAAAAACTGTATTTGATGTAGACTAATTAGAAATATTGATTAAAATGAAGCCAGCTCACTGGAAGGATGATGATAATAGGCTAATAATAACAATTGATTTTGCTTTGATAAATGAACCAAACTGTGAGCTGAAGGTACTTTGATTTTGACCTATTTATGGTCTGCATTCCCTTTTCTTATTGTTAGGTTGAGTTTCTGAGATTTGATCAGAATATTATTTAAAAGATAAATCTGAAAGAAATACGTAATTCACAGATGGATTTGACAACAAACACTTCTATGATGGACCATTCTGAAATACAGAATTGGTTCCCTCCCCTCACCCCACTCCAGCATTACCAAATTACATGTAGTGTGTGAGCAGCAGTAATAGTAATTAAAAATAATGAGGCCTGCTAGGTCTGCTAATTCTATTATCTTTATAGCATCAGGCTTCAAGCAACTCACCAGCAAAACAGTGCAGATGAGAAATCTCTTTAGAAGGTTTAGTGGTTGTTTACAATGCAACAGGATAATCCTTTCAGCCTGGAAAAAAAATAAAACAAAATCAAATGCAGACATTGAATAGATGCGGTTCAGAAAAAAAGCAAAGGTTAATTGGTTGATAATCAGCATAAAACTGTTTGATTATTTTTTCTCCCCTCAAGAAAATCAGAGACAACTAAATAAGGTGCTGCAACATTAATTTTTTATTTCTCTGCAAAACCTATTTCTTCATGGAGTAAAAATGAAAAGTAGAATTTTGTATGCTCTGAACGTCTGTATACCATTTTAACTTTCTGTGTAAAAACCACAATAGGTGCTACTCTCCGTTTTGACAGAACTGACAGTGCTATTCTAACTTGCAAGGTCCTAAAAGTGGAACTGAGGTGTAGGTCTAAACTAGGACTGTAAGGAGGTCCTTTGTCTGTCCCAATCTGTTATATAAAGGATTTTAATTTATTTCTCCTACACTCTGATGCTGTCTCAGAGTCCCACGAGCTACATATGAGCTGTTGGAGATCATATATTTTTTTGCAGCTCACTAACACGTAATTCCTTACATAACCAGTGGAACAGCAACATTTGAGTCCCTAGGTTTAACATTTGCAAAACATCTCTCAGATGATGATTAAACATTGTGCAATCTTCTTCTTTCTGCAGGCATCCAAATCCAAGCCTTCTGGAAAATTATGAATACGTACCCTCTGACTCTAGAGGAGCCTCGTTCAGCACTCATTTGTGTCCACTGCTTTCATGTAATGCCTTTATCCACCATGACTGGAGGCATATTTTCAATGTTAGAGCTAAAACACGCACGCATGTGCATCTGTATGTCTATGTGTGCAAGTGTACAGGCTTGGGGGGGAGGGGGAGGGTTAGTGGATTTAAAAAATCACTCTTTTTTGTATCCTGTATCATGAAGTTTATCAAAGGCAGGTTTATCGACAACTTAGATTACAGCATTTGGCCTCACTACAAGAATCATCACATATTCTTTGAATCACAATGACAACAGATGTCATTAAGAAACTGAAAAAAAGTAGCTACTTAAGAAGATGATCACAATGCATCACAGTTTAAGCACATGGAAACCACACATTACTATTTACAAATGTTTCTGGATAACTTGATCCTCTTGTAGCACAGTTCAGAAGGCAACCCAAGCTGGCAAGCACTGAAGCAGGAATGGGATTGCTTGCAGGAATGGAATGGGGAATAAAATTGGGAAAAAAAAAAAAGTAGCATTCAGGAAACAGAACCTGTATTTTGCAGGTAAATCTATGAAGTTTGAAAGTATTAATTATTCTACATTTTTAAATGGAAATGGATAGATATACAAAACAATTTTCTGAAGTAACTTTTCACTGTCAATTTGAACATTATGCAAAATAATGCCATTTATACTAGATGCCATTTAATTTTGTCACTTAAGTGGCAAAAATGAAATATAAAATAAAATAGATTTTTTTATACTTCTTTTTATTTTGGACCACCACACAATGTAGTTGTAAAGTTTCAACTAGCTGCAGGCCTTTCCACAAATCACCCTAGCATATGCTTTAGTATATATTTTATGTTTAGGATACACATTTTAACAATTAGGATTACTCTTCTTAATTTATTATTTTTCCTGTAAGGTTTTTAAGATATGGACAGAGTTCTTAAGAAATGAACAGAGAATACTTAATAATCCTGAAGAAAAAGCACTTAATTTAACAGAAAAAAAATCTATTTTTTTTGTTTGTTTGTTTGTTTGTTTGTTTTTTTCCCTGGGGCATATTTGCACTCCTGGATCAGGAAGATAGGTAACTAAATTCTGGACAAGGCTGCTTAAATAAGGGCTCAGTAAAAATAAAACGGTTGCATCTACATGTATATCCTGTGTAACAAATCAAAAAGGAAGGTGAAAGAAACAGACAATAAGAAAACAATGTTAAGTTTTACGTGAGAAATAAAACAAAACCACACATTTACGTATTCAATACACACATGAAGGACATGAGCTCTGATCCCAGATTTTTCCTATACTTATATTCTTGGTTTTCGAAAGCAGAAGATACATTTGAAGAATTCTGCAGATAGTTATTTCGACAGGCAATATCAGAATAACTTTGTCTTCTCCATAGTTTCCTACTATTCTTTCAGCATTAGATTCACATTTCCAACATTTTTATAAAACTATCAAATATTATAAAGGCAGCTTTTTTAAGACAGACCGAAAAGCAAAACCAACAGGTCAGACACCAACAATAGAAATTGGTACACTGAGAAATATCTCATAACATGTCTATTTCTGTTAAATAGATAAGAACATCTAAATTCATCACAACTTAAAGCAAGAAATTGACACTGTGGTAATTCCTCTGGGATCTGTGCATCACATGCAAGAAATGGCTGGGCCTAAAGGGGCCTGTAGGAGATGCTGGACATCACCTTTCAGGTCTAGTAAACCCCATACCACAAGACTCTTTCAGTTAACCTGACTTTTTACCTCTTTGTTTCAGAAGTGCACAACACTGTTTTCTCATTAGTCATACACAAAACCCACAACCCCTTCTGTTATATCCAGTCTGCTAATACAAACTTTAAAATACCAGCAACCACATTAGATAATGTGCAGTTATTTTAGAGCATATGCACACAAGAACTTTCATGTGTTTCTCTACACATCAAAATAAAATTTTTTTTCATTTGTTTGGAGAAAAAAAAAAAGGCTGGTCTTGGCTCTCATATGCAGAAGTGCAAAGACAACTCAGCAGAGGGTGTGTCATACCTTAACAGACTGAGATAAGGTCAAACACAGAATTCCAAGGGAAAAGATCAAAGCAGTGGTTGTGAAAGCACAGAAGTAGAATCCACATTTATTTTAACGGGAGTTTTGAAGAGATTAAGTTCAAACCTGTTATGAGTTTGATTTCACAGTGCTTATTTGGTTTATCATGTCTTTTTTTTTTTTTTTAATCCTCGATAGTCTCTCCCAGTTTTCTCAAATACTGTGCTCATAATTGCTGTGGATTGAAGAATACAGTTCTGTGGATTTAGTGGAAATGGAAAGCATAGGAGGGATGTCACCAATCATTACACTAGTTAGCATTAGTCAGAGTCAAAGGTAGTGCTGAAACAGAAACAGAAGGAAATATGAAATTGCTTTTCAGCCCAGTGCTGGAGCATTGCCGTGTGGAATCATAGGGAACACACTGAGGAAAAAATGTATTAAAAACCAAGCAATATGTTCCAAAAGAGACAACCCATCCCTGCTTTCTTTCAGGGACTCACAACAGAGCACTGGAACTCCTAAAGGAAAAATTCAGTAATTTCAGCTATAACTTCTGAACAAATGAATAAAAAGCTTCAATGGAATAAAACAGAGCAATAGACCCTTCTGAGTCTGTGTATTTAGGCAACAGAAGCAATTAATTTCATCAGTACATGAGAAGAAGATGGGTAAACATATGACTCCAGTGAAACAGATCATATATCCAGTTTCATTAGGAATTTTCACAGCAATCATCTGCATCATTGTTAGTTTAATTAAACACACATTAACAAGATGGAAGCAAAAGTAACACACAGGAGGGACAGAGCAAGTAGCTAGCGGTGAGAGGCAGAGTGAATGGGACTGTCCCTTTCAACAGCACTGCAGAATTACAGCAAATGCTGGCTCTAACCTCAGCCTGGGCATGAGCTACTCAGAAGCTACAATCAGAAAACCAACAGTGTTAAATAGGCTCTGCAGCATGTCTCTCCTCCAACATACAAGCACCAACAGAACGCACTCAAACTCTTGGGAAATCTAATAAGACAATGACTTATATCTGTCCCTATTGGCAGAAAGTGATATATAACTAAACCAGAGGACATAACTGAAGATGGAAGCAAAAACAGTCTTCAAAATTTCTGAAAGAATTACAGGGTGAGGAGATTGCTAGGCAAAAACAATTAGTGCATTTATCAGTTGTGCCTTCATAAAAAGTTGTACTCCCCAGCACCGTCTACTTTCCAGATGGAAATAGATTAAATTAATTGGGTTAAGCATGTTTTGCTAATAGCACTGCACAAATAGTATTCACAAAGCTACAGTGAACAGGTACAGCAGCTTTGTGAGGGAGCTACCCAGGCAAAGGACTATATAAGTCCCATTTTTATATAGACTAATTACTTATAGATTTTTCTTATGCAGAGCAGAAAAGGAATAATTTTCTAAATGGTAACTGCTTCTCATAAGTTCTTGTTACTCTATAGCCAACCTCATTCCTCCCTTACCAGCTTTGAGAAGCAGAATTTATCACTTTGGTGAGGAGAGCCTTAGCTTTGCAAATAGACTGCTATTATGACTACTTTCTGGTTTTTGTAAGTGGAAGTTTAGTTTCTTAAGTTACAATTCCAGAACTGGTCATTCTTCTAAATGTAATTGTAAAATGTTCCCCAAATCCTACAGTAACAGATGGCTTAGAAGTATGTGCAGATACAGGAGTCCTACTGAAAGTTGTGATACAAATGAGCAGCCAGACTCAGACTTTGCTCCCCAGTACTGCCCAAAGGTGTTTAGAGAGGATCCTTTCAATTCAATCACGGGGAGACATACATACAACTGAAAACAAATCCAAGTCCCATTGACTGGTGTTTCCTATTGGCTCCAAGAGTAGGAATATACTTTTTCTGAACACATGCCTAAAAGACTTTTCTTTGATACAAAGGAGTATGGTATTGGCTTCTTTACATACGATGGGCACATCTGTATGCTGCAGTTGAGTATCTGTCCAGTACAATTAAAGCTTCATTTGTTTAGTTTGAATGGTAAGTTGAAATAGCTCTGATGCTGAGCAAAGCTGAAGCTGGTCTTCATAAACTTAAGACAAAGTCTGACAGGAAATATTATTTTAACTTGGTCCTGTCTTCATACTGCTGTGCCCTAAGCTTATACAACTTGTAAAAACAAAAATAATTTTGCAAAATACTTTCACTACAGTACTTGCTAAAAATGGCTTTTTATATCTCAGACTGAACACTTTACTGTATCTTCAATGTAAACATTGCAACTG